ACTGTCTGTTGAAAGTAAACAAGTCTGGCCAATCAGTTCCCTGAGGCTGACTCACACATGACTTCGCTGACGGCACTGGACGACTTCCGCGCCCTCAGACTTCGGACGCCGGCCCTCACGACTGCGGACGAGCGTTCATCCAGCTGTCAACTCCCTCTAACCTATCCTTTACTTCGACTGTGCAGAAAATACGATTCCTTCTGTTAGGACGGCCGAGTCATAACTCGGGCCATCCTGAGGTCACAAGAACTAAGGTCAGGGTCTGCCATCCGTAAGGTCACGCGAGGGCACAAGGTTATGCGTACGCGTGAACAACCACCGGGCTGTCACGCGAAGGACACCACCATGACTGCCTGCATGGGCCACTGGCGGAGAGGCAAATAGGGAACAAAGACTGTTGACCCTTAAATACGACGCCGCGGACAGAAGGCTGAGACGCACTACCGACGACCCAATATTCTGCTAATGGGGACAGAAGACAAGCAGCCGAGACGAGACCGACGACAGAAGACACGTTGCTGGCGGACACACAGAAGACAACGCTGGTGTGCAAGCCAATACAGTAACAGTAAAATACTACCTGCTTTCCTCTTTTGCCTCCTCTTCCTAACACGTAACTGGGGGAAATAACCCGTGTTGACACAGGAACACACAAGGTTATGACAATTGGCGACGAAGTAGATCTCTCCAGACGTGGGTGAACACTCAAGATCACAACAAGTGACTACACAACATGAACAGTGTGGATTAAATGTGGAAGGTATTCGAAGCACAGCAAGCTGCAGGAGGACTTGAAGCAGACAGGCAGTGATGACAGATCGAAGTGGCTGAAGGACATGGTCACAAAAGCGACAACAGAGGCAACTGCAGCAGCAAAAGCAGCAGCCACAGAAGCATCAGCGGTAGACGCAACAGCAACAGAGGCACTAACGGCCACAGAAGCGGAGAAGACCGAGCAGCAGATTAGACGGAGCTGCAGACAAGCCCGAGCCGCAGACGAGACCAAACTGCAGACAAGACTGAACTGCATTACAAGAGCAGCAGCAACAGACGCTACACCAGCAGCAACAACAGAGGCAATAGACCGACGTGCAGACACTACCGAGCTGCCGACAGGACCGTGTTTCAGACACTACCGAACTGCAGACAAGACCGAATTGAGATAAATCAAGGTTATAGTACCTTCCACCTGGCGTTTCACTTATTATTTACCCACACGGAAGCGGGCCTAAAGATCGCAGCAGCTAGGGTCACCCCATTAACTCTAGTCCACTGCGATAAGTATATGAGACATTATTTAACAGTTAAATCAGCTGTTTCTCGGTAGGCAAACAACCAACAGCGGGTTCAATGCGAAAGACTTTGAAAGCAAGTGTCAATGAAAGAAGAGAACGATTGTTCACTCGTACAGACCGCATGAAACTGCGGTTCCATAAAAGCACGAATGACGCTGTCGTGGAAATCCGAACTTGGCGCGGTGGGCTGATCTGTGACGTGTCCCAACCGCGGTCCGACACCGGTATTACCAGAGACCGCATTTAGGCCCACAGCCTTTTTACGAAAAGTAAAAGACAGCACTGTGACAAATGAGTTTGTTGAAAGTTCCATAGATAAAGCCAAATGAAAATGACAATAAAATCACAAAGAAAATGTGATAGAGAAGACCAAAAGCGAAGAACTTATATAAAACTCCAAGTCATCTCGGTCACTAACTAATTACGTTGGCCTTTTACTGGCTTTTAGAAAACCGAGCTGTCAAAAGCGTAAGCCAAATAAAAAATCAAAAAGCTTTAGACAATGAGCAAGGAGGGGAGATAGAAAAGGAGTCCAGAAAAAAAGTGCATAGGTGTGAGAATATCAGGACATAGGCTGTTTTTGCATAAGCTCCAGCTCCTTGGCGTAGCACTTCCTTATTGCATGCCGCGAAGCCTTGAGCGTCGGAGTAAGAAGACCATTTTCAATGGTAAACGCCCGAGGAGTTAGGTAAATGTTCTTCACCTGAACAGAGATACGGATAGTGAAGCCAAAATAAAGTAAAAACGGCTAGCCACTCAAGGCATGCCTTGCTACTAGACAAAACCAGCATAAATTGATTTCGAGAACGAAAAGCATCGATTTGGTGGGGAAAATAATGACTTGAGATTAGGCTGCACGGTTATCAGAAGCACAGGTCTACTTAATGCCGGTTTGCTACTGATTGTCAATTATTCACAAATTTCGGCATTTTGTAGAAAATGCTACCGGAAGCCAATGCATGACACAAGGTTTTGTGAAATAACATACAAGTAAAATGAATCTGCTCCGGCTTCGCAGATTCATAGCCGCCTGCACCTGACAACAACTTCTTGTCGCCGAAATTGTTTTTGTTTAGGGTTGGTTGGCATAGAACAGTTTTTTGGCCCTCACCCCGGGTAAGGGCATAGAAAAGTCGCTCTCAGTAATTCAGGCAGCATTGTGCTGCATTTTAGGGGGGTCGACCATTCCCATGACTCAATATTAACACTAAACGTTTCTCTACCCTCACACCTACAATTACTCTAGGCTTAACAGCAATCCTAAGTTAAACCCAAACCCAAACCCCGACCTTAACCCTAACCGTAATTTCCCTGGAATATGGCGCAGAACCACCTGCAGTAACAAGGGGTGGGAGCGTTCCTGTTCGCCCCTCCCGCCAGGCGAGGCTGGAGCATTTGTATGGATGCTGTAGCCCCACTTCTCTCCGATGTGCGCACGCCAAACACGAGGTCACGTGATGGTAACCCATCGCCCGGCCCCGGTGACCACAGCCTGCATCAACGCTCGAGCCCCTATGGTGACAAACACTCGCACGCACCGATGCTCACGCTTTGGTCTCGCGTGACTGGGGCGAACATGCACACTCCAGTCTCGTCTGATCAATCACTTTCAAGGCTGACTAAGACAAAGA